AATTCGTCGCCCACACATATGAAGGCATCACAGCCTGCAGTTCGCTCCCAGCTGAGGAATATTGCCCCTGCCCCTTCATCTCAGAAGAATTCCTCCAAGACTCTGGTCCTTAAGACCATTCCCCTGAAAGTCAAACAAGTTGCTCCAACGACTATTAAGATGTTACCGAAGCAACCGAGTGTTCGGATGCCTCAGAATGTTGTCCCACCACAACCTGCAGAGGTAAAAATATAAAATACTGCACATTAGTCAGAGTAAGAGTTTTTATAAATTTAATTATGCAATGAATATTCAATGGGAAATAATTACTCCTGTCAAATTAATTTACTGGTGTTGTGTATTAAATGGTCGATTTTTTTAAAGTTAGTATATTTACATGGTGAACTATTAAATTAGATTGTATTTTTGTCGTAGGTATGTCTAAGGTGGAACAGCTACCACAGCAACATGCAGAGCAGCTTCCCAACTCTCTTGGACTCTGAAGAGTTTGTCGACGTGACTCTCGCCTGCGAGGGCAAATCTGTCAAGTGCCACAAGATCATTCTCTCCTCCTGCAGTGATTACCTGGCTGCATTACTGCGTGAAAATCCCTGCCAGCACCCCATAATATTGATGAAGGATCTGAAGTTCTGGGAAGTTGAAGCACTAGTTAAATTCATGTACAAGGGGGAAGTAAACGTCGCCCATGATAAGTTGCCACAGCTTCTAAATGCAGCTGAAGCACTTCAAGTGAAGGGATTGGCTGGTCCCACTCCCCCTCAGGTGAGTTAATGCATGTGTTAATCAATTGCTGGAGATCATTTAATGATGTGACAATATTTTAAAATTTGAGGATTCAGAGATAAATAACAAAACAAAATGTAATTAAATTCAATGGGCAATTCATTTTTACAGACTCAGAATCCTCCCACGCCTATTTCACAATCGAGACTCCAGACAACTCCAGCGGCTCCAAAACCTTCCGAGAAAGATTCAAAATCTTTCAACTTCTCTTCAAAATCTCAGTCTAGTCCCAAACGAGGTGTTAAACGTCCTATGGAGCACAAGGGTACTCGACCCTTCACGAAAATTCGTATTCATCATCCAAAGCTACCACCTTCTAGCGCATCATCACCGACGATAAAGCTGGAGCCTCTGGACATACCCCTGAGTGACACTGACATATTCCCTGAGACCAATGACGACAGCTCCACGACAAATTACGATAATCTCATAACAATGCACGAGGCTGATGATCCTGGGGGAGATGAACGACCTGACTCAGCTGATGGTGATATTCAATTTGATTTCCATGGATCCGAGGACATCACAGATGCTGAGGAACAGATGGAATTCGTACCGACTGATTTTTTGGAACAGGAACATGATATTTTGGAAGAAGTTGATGCTGACAGCAGCAGGAACAGTGTTGAGGAGATCAGAGATGGTGATCTGGAGGCTGAAACTCCTGATGACGATGAGAAAGATGATGATGGAGATGGGGGTGGAGGTGAAGTTGAAGCAGATGATGATGAGTTGAGTAAAAAGGATGAGACGTAGGGAATGAGATTTATTTCATTTTTACTGAGGACGAAATTTCGAGGCCTCTCTGAAGGAAACTCATCATTTTCTTGATAATGTTTCGAAACACATGAAGTGGAAAGTGCATTATTTCTCTACATCCGTTGAATTTCACGAGTATATTCAATTACACTTGTCTTTCGTTGATTACTCGTCCTTCTGATCAATGAACATTGGTTTCTAATCTTAAGGTTGAAGAGTAACGCATTTAGAGTCATGTTTAAAATGTGGACTGTCAAATTTTATATTTCATTATATAAAGGATCTATCTTTAAGGAATAGTTGACGCGAAATCTGTGTGACCTGTACTCTATCACGTATTTTGGTTGATACGTGAATAATATATTGAGATATTAAGAAACGATTAATGGAATTCATGAAGAAAGTAAATATCTGAAGCTGTAATTTATCTTATAAAATATATGACTTCGAAAACTATTATCCGTTATTCATCCACATTGCATGTCCTTTTGAAACATTAAAAAATTTTAATAAATGCACTTTCTGATGAGTGTGATTATGAACCTAGCCTTCCACTCAGATTCTAGTCATATTCGTCTGATAGCACTTTTATCACCTGATAACACAATGCACTAGTTCGTGTCATAGATAATTATAAAAACCTCAAGTATTAGAAAAATGTAAAAATGAGGAAAGCACACAAGAGTCGTGTACACAACA